AAAGGTAATTTGTAATGTTGAAATAAAGAAGAGAGTACATACTTTCCTTTAAAATGAGATTATCTACTCCTAGCTTTCTTTTACTTCACATCACATTTCTTTAGCATACACGAAGGGTAATAAGGATATTTTGTAGATTTTATTCTCTGTGAAATGGCAGGAAAGAATCTGCATTTGACATTAAGTGGTTGAGTGGGAATCTTAGAATTGTACAGGCTCCATCTGTACTAGCTACAGAAAACAGATAGGAAAGTGCACATGTAGTTTCCTTGGCCTATGTAAGATATAGCCTTAGTATCATATAATAAGGTACTGTAGTTGCCATGGTTATTGATCCCAAAATTCAAACTAATTTGATAATGGATTCCACTTAAAAAGCTTATTTATGTTAATCATTATAACAAATACATGCTGAATCCAGAAACATTGCCAAACCAGTATGTGACTAGCATATAAACTAATAAATGCATAACTATAGAATGAATCTTATCTTTAGAGTGTTCAGAGTGTGTTGTCTCTATTTTGATTTCTTTATCTTATTTTGTAGGAGTATGCAGAATTCTGCAGGATTTTCTGCTAATCAAAGGAGTAGGTATCTAACTGAATTATGTGGATATAATAAATGGGTTCAAGTTCAGAGTTGCTTTTGATTGAGGCCTATTTCTTATAAAAAGACTATCAACTATTTTCTACTCCCTTAAGCTTATTTATTGATGGTTCAAATGTAACTGAAAACATGAGCAATCTAACTGCAGTCTTGTCTCACTAGAAAGTGGAAAAACAATATAAAAAGATAGGTTGTCGAAAATTATTCACTTCTGTGGAAGATATACTAAGTGATCATCTAAAAGGAAAAATTATTTTATTTTCACAATCTCCAGAATAAACCTCATGGCTTGCAAGTCTTTACTCAGAAATGCTTGTGAGAAAACCAAATGTTAAATATAGATATAGTTTGCTCTTGACTCTCTCAAACCCATTGCCTATATCGGACACAATTACAATGCCTATTGTTCTGGGAATCTCCTACAGCAGCGGTTTTCAAACTTTTTGGGCTCCGGAGCCCTTTACATGCGTAAAAATGTATGCGGAGCCCCAGCGGTCCACTGATTGTATATATGATACTTATGCAGAGCCCCAGCGGTCTACTGATTGTATGTGTTGTACCTATCGATGTTTCCAGTTTGTCAACCTCGCAGAGCCCTGGAGATGTCTTGCGGAGCCCTGGGGCTCCGCAGACCACAGTTTGAGAAACACTGTCCTAAAGCTTAAGTTTTTCAGGTTTGGTTTCATTCAGTGTATATACTGGTTTTACTATTTCAGGTAGAGATGTGAGGTTTTTATCAATGCAGTAAAATTGGTGCAGCCCTTATCGTGCATGCAGTTATGCTGCAATGAAGATGTCTAGAAACTTATAGGAATAAATTATACTGACATAAGCACCTTTATATTGGTTTAACTGTGACCACACTAGTCACCTATTCTGCTTTTACCATACCGGTTTCAAACTAACATAGTTATACAATAACTTTGTACGGGAAAGTTCTTGAAGAAGCTACTGTACTATTATACCCCATTTCTTGTCTCCCTGCTGCATTCATGTTTTAAAAGAGAAGTTGGACTTATTGGGGTTCCCATAATTACTTAAAGCAATGATGGCTATTGTTTGGAAAATCAACTGCTTCTTCAAAATATCCAATAATGGATCTCATTGTAAGCCTTTACTTTCCTCAGCACGAACAAGAAGTGGAATTGCAGAAATGAAAAGGCAGAGAATGCTTCAGTCAGCTGCTCCAACCTCAGGATTGTTGTCTATAGCCCACCAGACAGGACAACTTAATTCCTCTTGTATGGCAACTACCCAAATTATTCACAGACCAACAGTAAATCAAAGTGCATCACAGACAAGACTGAACACTTTATTTGCACAGCAGTCCCAAACACAGGAAAATGTCACCAGTAAGTTATATTTATTACTGATTATTTTTTATTCAATATATGTATATAGATGGAATTATTTTATAATATGCAATATTCATCTTACACAAAGGCAGCTTACTTTGAGAAATTCCTGCTTTGCAGATTCTTACTAGTGTCCAGACCAAGTCAGACATTAAGAATAAGAGGATGGTACAATGGAGAAAGAGATTATTGTTTAATTTACATACTAGTATGGCCACATGTGCGTTGGTGGCTCACAGGTGCATAAAACAGTTTGTATTCACATCCTTCAGTATGCACCTAACATCCCCAGTAAAGATTAGAGACTTGAGTTGTATCTGGATGCTTTTGTCAGATTTTGTGAATAGAATTTTACACTTTGTATGATGATGCATGTAATCTGCTCACAAGATGAGTGGGGATTGAAAATCAGATCTTGATAAGGATATTAGTATGCAATCCCAAATTCTTGTAGCACCTTAAGAAAATATGTTTGTATCCCCCATATTATTTTTTTAAAGCAGGAGATTCTATACATATTCTTGTTCCTGGATCTCAAGAACGAAGATTTCATTCAAGCTTGTTATCTCCAGGAAGACGAAAAAGGTGAATGTTCCTTTTATAAGTTGTTTGTAATTTGCAACATGCTTGTCTTGAACATGAGGTTCTTTGGAACATAAAATTCAATACTGGATCAGACCCAAGGTCCATCTAATCCTATCTCTGACAGTAGCTAGTACCAGATGTTTCAGAGGTAGGTAAAACAACCTTGCAGAGATTGGGGTGGTGAAATCTGTCCCCCTTGCAGCTCTCATCCTGATCTCTAGGAGTGAGAGAGGATAAGCTTAAACATTGAAAGGTTGAGGTTTAATATACTTTATAAAATTTGTTAGCATTAATTATAACTGGATATCCATATAAATATTCAATCATTTTTTAATCTGGAGAAGTTTTTGGATTGAGCTTCCTGTGGAAATGAGTTCAACAGTGAAATGTGAAAGTGTTTCCTTCAGTGGTTTTGCATTTCCCACCTTTTAATTTGATTGAAATTGTCTCTCATACTTGTGATATGAGATAGGGAAAATAGAAGTTCTCTGCATTCTCTATTCAGTATTTTACATGTTCATTGTGTCTCTTTTCTAAGGTAAAAAAATCCCATTCTTCTCAATCTCTCTGTGTATGCGAGGTTTTTTCAGATCCTTGTTCACATTTGTCACTCCTCTCTGAACCCACTGTAATTCTGCATTATCTTTTTAGAGAAGGAATGATTGATGGAACACGCACTGTTCCTGAATGACGCTGCAGCACTGATTTAAATATAGGCATTAGAATATGGTGCATAGTATTCTGCCATCTAATTCCTTATGTAACCTAACATCTTGTTTGCTGTTTTGACCAGAGTTGCTCTTTGAGCAGAGGTCTCCATTGAGCTGTCAACAGTGATGCCCAAGTCCCTTTCCTTAGTTGACAGAATTAATTTAGAACTTTAAGGTGTACAAGCAGTTTGTTTTCCCTTCAACATGCATTATCTTGCATTTGCGTACATTAAAGTGAATGTCATAATATTGCCCATTCACCTCATTTATTTATATACTTGATAATTGACCTGTTAGCCTAGAATAAGTATGGGGTGTCTTGTTTAACATAAAACAGATAGGGTCACTACACAGAGATAACACAATTAAAATTGTTTTGTTTTGTTTTCATTACAAATATGCAGTTCAATTTTTATTGGTAAACATTTTCTAATTGTAAAGTGGAAAGAGGAAATATTAGTTTAAAGCATGAGTCAGTAACCTCTTATGGATTGAACTTTTTCCCAATATTGTTTGCAATGAATACATTTTTGTAAAATATGGCATACATTTCCAAAAATGTTTCAGTGAATCTCAGAAGAAGAAAAATATTGCATCACCTGGACCTCATTTAGCAAGTAGAAATTTTCAGGACTCCAATATGGGGGTAGTGGAAGAAGAAAGCGAACCCCTCCAAGAACTCATAGATGGCAATTTCCCTGTAAGTATAAAAATAAAACACCACAATTACATTTTAAGAATTTCTAGGGCGTGCTTTATGTTTCTCAGAACTTACCAAGTTCTAGTTTTTCTATAGCAGAGCGAGTATTCATTCAAAAAACATCCATGACATACTTACTAGGTAGTTGGGTGCACAATGACCCAAATAAAACAACTTTAGTTATCTAGAATTTAAATATCAATCTTACATCTAAGGTTCAAAGTACTGAATCTGCTTACCTTTAAGCAGCAGAACTGATTAGTCTTCTCTTGTTTGACTGGGTTTCTTTAAAAGTAAATATCTTCTCTAAATGATAAAGTTTGACATTAGGTTGAAAATAGGAACCAGAATTAAAATGTTGATTCTGACCCCAGACAGCTTTCTCTTATAGTAATTATAGCAGGAGCCGCCACTATAATTAAGGTGGCATAGGTTTCCACTCTGACTCCAAGGTTTCAGTCATTCCTAAGTGTCTGAATCTATAACCTTTCAGGCTGAAATTTTCCAGTCTTGATGTCTCTCCAAAGGTCAACCTTTTAGTTGTTTTTTAAAACTTAAGCAAAAATGATTCAGGTATCCGAATATGAAGAAAGTATGCTTGTTTGTGTGTGTGGCAGGGGGAATCCTATTCCAGGCAGCATAGGTCTGTGGGAGAGAGCTCTTCCCTGCACACTTGTGAGGTTCCATATGTTGGAGCAGGTGGTCCTTACACCTTATGAAGTTCATTGCCATAGGCAAAGATTCTTACAGAAAGCCTGTGTCAGCCCCGTTGCTTTTCACCTTTTCGCTCTGCAGCTAATGCGTATGCACACAAGTTCAGTGATATAAAACCTCTGTAAATGTACTGTTCATGTGCAACATGGAATTTCCAAGGGTCATAACTTGGTCAAAGTAAAACAAAATTTCTGACACACCTAGTGCCAACTTTCAATGTTGTTCTTCAATCATTTTACCTGTAAAGTGATTCAGTAAATAAAAGTTGTAGGAAATTGTCTTAGTATTTGGAAAAATATATTCTGGTGGTATCAAGAAAACTGGTTCCAGACTGACTTACGTTATTGCTAGTGTTTGCAAGCCAGCCATGCTTTGAGGTCCTGAGTGTGAAACAACATAAGTTTTCTTCTCCCTCCCCATCTTTTCAAAATGAAACAAAGAAACCCAGTCATTTCTTACAAAAATACTATGCTGAGTAGTAAGGTTACATGGGGAGAGCCTGAAGCTCAAAAATTACAATTAAGTTTGTATGTACAATCTTATCTCTTCCCTTTGAGCATATAGGCTACAGTAATCCTGAATGACATAGGAGGAGAAAAAAATTCTGGGGTTTCTGTTGGTAGTTTTCAGTGCTTTCCTTAGTGAGGACAAATGGCAACCCTTGAGGAAGCACTTTTAGCCACTCTTCAAGAAATCTCAACATTGACAGTCTAGTCAATTATCAATCTGTTTTAGATTTTTCCTTTCTGGGCATGAGAAGACAATGACCCAGACAGATCTTTCTCAAGTAGTGGTTAGTCATTTAGACCTGGATATTGTATAGACACTACTCTTGACATGTAGACATAGATCTGGGTGTGTCTGTGGGCAGCATGTGATGTTAGATGGCCAAGGAGATAAACCATTTCTCAAGGGTGAGTTTGTAGGGGAGACAGATGGTGTCTACACAGAGAAATTCCAATGGTCTCTCTGATGTTGTCTCTGGAGGGAGAGTGGGCTGCTATGATCCTTCTCATTGGATATATGTTACAGTAGTAATTATGATAAACTTCTTCAGCATTATGAGTCTTTTCTTTGTATTGAAACTTAGTGTCCTGAATATGAATCTGATCTTACTTGTAAATTTGAAATTTGTTTCTTTTCTAGTAATTATAAAAACATATTTTTGACCACTTTAAAACTGTTTTATAGCAATTGGTCATTGAAAATGCCAGAGAAAAAATCTTGAGCAACAAATCTCTTCAGGAGAAGCTTGCAGAAAACATAAACAAATTTTTGGGCAGGTAATAAATTTATGTCTGAGAGACCCTGATCCTTGTGTACATGTTTTACTTCTGAATTCTGTACTAACTATTTTTAATTATGTTCCAGTGAGGGCAATGTTGCTCAGACTCCCAAACAGACAGACAATGGTCCCACAGAACAGGAGTCCTCAATTGACGAAATCTTTGGACTTCAGGTAGACTCACAATATCTCCTATTTGGACTGGTAAAGCCACAGATGCTATGTGTAAATGCAGACTGACACACATACTTGGTGGGATTCTGCTAAAACCTGGCATAAATACATTGCTTTAAAGTCAGTGCTTTTTTCACATTTATTTTATGAAAGCTACAAAGTTGTCACTTAAGTAACTGTCATGGTGATGAAGCTAAATGCACCTCTGTTCCATTTCTCGTTTATCTGAGTGCACCGTCCTCAGGTGAAAACAATGAGAAGCCTGGGATGCAGCAACAGGGAGGGACAGAGTGAGACTCACTCACTGGTTCGCAGTGCAGGCCAGTGAGGCCCTAGCCCCACCTCCTTAACCTTTCTCCATGGAGGTACACACACCCAGCCTCCCTTCTCCTCTCCCATGGTGATCTGCTCTCTGCTGCTGAGGAAGGAGAGTGTTCCCCACAGATTTCACTTTGCCCCCATTTTTCTGTAGGAAACCAAGAAATCTGTTGGCAGAGACTAGCACTGTGAGGGGTGCAGGAGTCAGGGCAGGGTCTTGAGGATGTGAGGGGAGGATGTGAAGAGGGGGTGGAGGTGGCTGCCGGCTTCTCCCCAGGGGTGGAATGGGGGTGGAGGGCTGCACAACCTGCCCACAAGCTTCTCCCCGGAGGCTGGAATGAGGAGAGCTGCACAGGCTAGCCCCACTGGCGCTTCCGGGTCCCAGTACAAGGAGTAGAGACGATGGGGCGGAGTTGCAGGCAGGCCCTGGCAGCGCTTCCCAGGGGACACCCATGCAGGTTGGCTGAGGGGCAGATGCACCTGGCCAGCCCAGCAATGCTGGGTGGTACAGATTTGAGTCCTCCATAGCAGGTGAGGACTGCATTGCTTGGCCCTGGCAGTGCTTCCTGTGGGGACTGTGGCAATGGGGCTGGCAGGGCTCCCTACCAGGTCCAACACTGCAGCTGAGGGCTGGTCAGGGAGCCAGTTATCTGGGCTGGTGGCCACTCTCTTCTGTGGCTGCCCCCCTGTGTTCACCCTGCAGTACAGCTGCCCCTCTGATCAGCCTCCTCCCTTTCCATATTATGGAAAAAAATCAAATTGTAAGCACATCCAGCTTTCTTGCTACAACCAAACCCTGATCTTGCTTTAAATTAGGATAAGAGGAAGCTGCATTCCAAATTTGGTGGTCTTAGCTCTTGCCATTTAGGAGGATTCAGGGGGTAGCCGAGTCAGTCTGTAACAGGAAAAGCTTAAAAAACAACGAATAGTCTAGCAACACCTTAAAGACTAACAAAACATGTAGATGGTATCATGAGCTTTCGTGGGCACAACATACTTCTTCAGATGAATGGAGTAGTTCTTGAACAAATGGACTTGCAGACAAATGGATGGACTCACAGACAGATGCACAGATCTGTAAAATATAAAGAGTCTAATTAGTATGTAAATGACTATGTAAATCAGTTCTTTGTGACTTGACCATTTTTTCAGAGTGAAATCCACATGTCAGAAGAAGCAATACAGGACATCCTGGAACAGACAGAGTCAGACCCAGCTTTTCAGGCACTCTTTGACCTCTTTGAACCTGGTAGGTTAGAGTTTACACATCTGAGCACTGTTGTAAAGGATGGGCTACACCAGGATGGCCAGTCCGCAGCTCACAAACTGCATGCAGCTCTTCACCACAGAAAGTGTGGCTCACGAATTGTACCCCATGGCTTGTGAAGCCGCCCCTGTGCTCACTGGGTGGAGGGGAGCCATCCGGCACAGCCAAGCAAAATGGTACCAACGGGAGCCTGATGTGGCCAAAAAGCCACATCGTTTAAAGGGGCAGTGTCTTTTTTTTTTTCCTCAACCAAATGTGGCGGCTACAGTTTTTGCTCAACAGCTTTTTTCCCAATGCTGGGTGGTGTGGATTTAGGTCCTCCACAGGGGGGCTCCTTGCGCTATGTCCACCACTATTTTGGCTCTTTGCCTGTAACAGGTTGGCCACCCCTGGGCTACACTGATCAGTCCAAACTTGGCTTGTAACGCAAAATTGATTCAGCGGAGTACCTTTACAGACTGGGAAAAGTGGGATTTTTACTGTTACCCCTTAAATCTAATCAGTCATCATTTTAATATTTCTGGATATTCTATGGATCACTTTCAAAATATTTCAAGTAAATACTGTTTTTCTGCAGTGTGTCAGTGGTAACATATTTATCATCATTCTAGCTTTCTATTGACAGGAAGATACAGATCATGTTTCTCTTGCTATATTGTTTTTTGTTCAACTGTAGCTTTTTCTTATGCCTGATCAATATGGTTCCAGGAATGCACTTAGTAAAAATGGAAATGTTTTAAGTTGTTATAGGACTGGAAGGAACCTCAAGAGGTCAAATCCAGTCCCCTGCACTCATGGCAGGACCAAGCACCATCTAGAACAGGGATGTGCAAAAGGGCCTCTGCAGGATGCATTCGGCCTGCCAAACAGATTGATCCAGCTCACGGGGGCCCTGCTTCTCCCCCGGCCAATCAGGGCCTAGGGACCTGGAAGCACTCAGCACTTAGAGTCAACCCCAGTGGTTGACTCTAAACTCCACGTACCCATGGGCAGGGAGCGAGAGGAGACTTAGCGCACTCTCCTTACCCCCAGTCTTCTCCCGTCCTGTTCTCATCCTGTCTGACTGGCCTGAGGATAGGAGGAGCACATGAAGTCTCCTCCCACCCTGTAAGGGGTGTGATGCTTTTGAGTGCCACGCACTCCTTGCAGGACAGGGGCAGGGCAAGAGGAGACTTCATGTGTTTCCCTCCCCCCCCCCCCCCCCCCAAATCCCTAATTGGCTTGGGGGCAGGGAGGAGCATGCAAAATCTCCTACTGCCAGGGGCACAGGCACCTAGAGGAAACCGCCAATTGTTCAGAACAGCTGGTGGCTCTCTCTGGAGGAGTGGCAGGGGCAAAGACTTTGCGTACTTCCCCACTCCCAGACCAATCAGGGTCTGTGGGCAGGGAAGCAAGGAAGTGTCTTGGCCCCGCCCCTTCCACCTGAGGAGGCAGCCTGGGGCCACTTCAGAAATTTCTGAAGTTCCCAGTCAAAAATTATTGCCCACCCCGATCTAAAACATCCTTGACAGGTCCTTGTTTAGCCACGTCTTAAAAATCTCCACTGATAAAAGAGATTCTAGTACCTCTCTATGCAATTTATTCCAATGTGTAACCACCCAGACAGTTAGGAGGTATTTCCTAATGTCCAGCCTAAACTTTTCTTGCTGCAATTTAAACCCATTGCTTCTTGTCCTATCCTCAGAGGTTATTGATGAATCTGTAGTGAGAATCTGTGAATAGTTCTTTGTGCCCTCATATGCTGAACATGTTCAAATATTTACTTAAACTGTTCATTTAACCTTGAGATAGAAATGTCTATTTAAATGTTCTTATTTGCTTTAATTTGAAATAGGTAAAAACAAGACTAATAAAAATGCACCTCATGCCATTTCCAATCAGAATGGAGTGGAGGGGACAATCTTGGTGGATGAAGATAATCTGGAAATAATTGAAAATTCTGTAGAAACACAAGAAGCTAGTAAGTGTATTCATAACTATACAATCTGTTCCAGGATCAGTTTTCTTCCATTACAAATACACTTGCACAGTTGACTGAGTCTACAATTCGTGGCTTTATATTTTAATAAATGATCCCTTGATCCTGCAATTTACAGTGTATAGTGAGACTTCTGCATCTTTGCAGAGCCTTGTTGAAACTGCAGAAGCGACCAGGAGTCCTGTGGCACCTTATAGACAAACAGATGTATTGGATGCATCTGACGAAGTGGGTCTTTGCCCACGAAAGCTTATGCTCCAATACATCTGTTCATCTGTAAGGTGCCACAGAACTCCTGGTCGCTTTTGCAGCTCCAGACTTACACAGCTACCCCTCTGATACTTGTTGAAACTGGGGATTTATATGGGCGTACCAGTCACCTATGCATTGTTAATTGAAATGTGTGCTTGCAAAATTCTCTTCTCATATAAAACACCTTAGTTCCATAGTAGAAACTGTTATAATACCTAGTTTGGGAAGTCTTTTCCCCAGTTCTGTAATGTACTCGTTAAATACAGGGTTTATTAAGGTTTCATCTAGTTATCCCCTGAAATACCACTTGGCCGCCTCCTCTAGGGGAGCTGCCTCAGGTAGAAGGGGCGGGGCCAGAGCAACTTGTCCAAAGCACTGCCCGGACTGCAGTGACTCTTCCTCCTTCTCCCCACCACTTACCTGAGCCCTCAGAACAGCCTGGAACACACCACATATCGCCCCACCTACCCAGCCTGCCCTAAGAGTGAGGTGGGCAAATTCCAGCCTGCGAGACCCCCACATCCATGTTTACCTGCACCTCCACAGGGATTGGAGGATCAGTTTTCATTGGACACAAATCGCCATTCGCGGCCAATGCGAGCGGCAGAAAGTGCGGTCCCTGTCCATGACGCTTCCCACTGCTCGCATTGGCCGCGACCAGCGATTCGCGGCCAACCAGAGCTGCAATCCTCTGATACCTGTGGAGCTGCAGGTAAACATAGTGGCGATGGCCTGCCAGGGACTAACCTTGCAGGCTGCCTTTTTTATTGTCTGCCCCTGCCTAAGAGCCACCCAGAATGCACTGTGCTTTAGAAGCAAGTTAAATGGTCAGGGACACAGGCCATTCATTTTGAATTGCCAGGTCCTGGGGCAGTCATTCTTTCCTTTCCCACTCCACTCCCACCCTGCCTCCACCAGCAGGCCTGGTCACTCTTATAACTCCAGCTGCAGATCTGTAGTATTGGCATCTAAATCAGGGTGATTGGGGCATTAGCATCACAAATAATAGAGATGGAAGGAAATCATTGTACAGGTTGAACCTCTCTAGTCTGGTACTCTCTGGGCCAGCAACATCCATGGCCCAGCATGATTTTAGTTAGCCGGATGTCCACTTATCATAGGTGTGGCCGAGTTTCCTGCAGCCCCATAAAGTTTGTTTTTAGTCACCAGTCCTGGCCGTCAGTGGTATGTGTTGTTATTTAGCTCTGATTTGCCCCAAAATGTCTTCTAAAATTCCAGTAAACTGTGGAAGTGTTAGTAATACTGCTAGACAATATTGACTATTGGTTTGGCACCAGTCAAGTCCTGAGGGTGCCAAACTAGAGAAGTTCAATCTATAACTTAGAAGTTATTCAGTCTTCTTTTAAAACAAAACAATTAACTTAGTTTAAAAGCAACTTTGTAGCTCACAAGTTAAGGTTTCTTCTTGATACAGTAGTTAATACTAATTAAAAGAATTTTATTAAAAATGTATAGTGTAATTTCTTCCGTGTGTGGGTTTAAAGTGATGTTGAATGGCCTAACTGCTGTCATATTCATAACATTAACCTGCTGCTGAATATATCATAGGCATCTTCCATTCAGTGAAGTACCACCAGGTAACATACAAGATGCTGTGAAGGACAAGCCAACAAAAGGGATTATGTTTACCTGGGGGTTGGGACTGACACACAAATACTTATAATCAAGGAATGAAATAACATGTTTATACAAATTAAACATTTGACATCCTGACCTCTGCGCTCCAGCTTTTGTGTTTCATATAACTTCTAATCATTTTTAAAACTAGGACAGAGGGGAAAGTACATTGCATGGGAGCTGAAGAAAGGCAGGGAAGAAATATTCAGAAAGTTGGGTCAGTTTAAAAATAAATATTGAAAACTAGAAGTCGTTGTTTTTGTTGCCCAAGAATTATGCTGGAAACACTTCTTTCAATATGTCACTTGTGAAACCATTTCTTATTGCAGCAACTAATGGACAATTAACACCCTGTAAGGGAATAATTTGCTGTAGAAATTTACAAAAATTTACAGAAATATTGAAACAACCCAACTGCTCTTTTGCAGGTGATCATTCCAGAGAGGCACAGTCCTGTAAAGATTATCATTCAGAAGTAGCATCGTGTGCCTTGAACAGCAGTGGTGATGATCTCACTAAGAAAAGTATAACTTGTGAACAATCGCATGGAAGCGGTAAACAGAAGAAACAGACTGATAACTTTAAAACGGTAACTGATGAACAAATTGGTGAGCTTGAAATTGCCTTTGAATCTGTGCCAGATTTGACTGACTCTAACCAAAGACTGAAATCTGGTGCTGAACAAAACGAACACTGTATGGAATCTTTCAATAATAAAGAATCAGCTGAATCAGTATCCAAAAGTCAAACAGTGATGGACACTGAATCAAATGCACTAAATCATAATGGTCTAAATACACCCAGTTTGGCATATGATCGTTCTGATATTCAACAGAGTTCCTTGGCTTCACTTGATGAAGACACCGTAATTATTGAAAATAGAGCATACCCTGGAACAAGTAAGCATCATTTATCACCAAATACTTCGTTATCTGAAAAAGCAAATACAAGTCCTTCTCATCTGAGCCCTGGTCACAGTGTGATGCTAAAAAAAAGTAATTCATCTAAATGTAGTCAGTCAGGAGAGTCAGTTGAAAATGAACAGGCTGTAACAGAAGAGATACCTACGTTGCCTGTTGCTTTAGAACAAAATTCTAATCACAGTTCTAACTGTCAAGATCTGGATAAAATGACGTTGGATTGTGTCGAAAGATCTGTAAATGTATCAGATCTGACAGCAACACAGTTGCAGCTTGAAGTTGTAGATATTTCCAATAAACCTCGGTCAGGGGATCAGCTTGTACTTGAAAAGCCTTCTACAAAAGATTTAAGTCTCCATTCAGGGTCATCAGACTCTGAGAGAACACAAATGGAAATGCAAGAACCCTCATCTTCTACAGAAACGGATGCTGAGACTATATTTTTCTCTTCAGGTGATGATGGATGTACGGAAATTTCTGTAGTATCCACTGAAAGAAATCCTACTATATCTGAAGCATGCCATTCCCCTCCACTAGAAACTGCATGCATGTCAGAAGAGTCTAGCACTGAGTTCAAAAGTATTGGTTGTGTTTCTTGTAGTAGTCAGCCTGCGGATGTAGATCCTTCTAGTATAGTATCCCTCAAAATCATCATCAGTGATGACCCATTTGTATCATCTGACACTGAGTTAAACAATGCAGTTTCCAGCATCACTGGAGAAAATTTGCCAACTATAATACTGTCTTCTCCAGCTAAAACTACGGGGCTATCCAAAAGTGTAACTTCAGAAGAGACTGAAAGAGTTGGGGACTCAGCATCTTCAGAACAAAATCTTCTTGTGCTCAGACCTAAAGACCCTGCCGTGAGCTCAGTGACTATGCAGAATGAAGAATGCACTGTTTTTTCAGTTGCTGGTGCAACTAATCTTTCCAAGGACGGGGGGTTTATTCAATTGATGCCAGCAACTAGCACAGCTTTTGGCAATTCAAATAACCTTTATATAACCACCTGCATGACTGATCCAACCACATTGAGCACTACTGTAACTCCATCTAATGTAGTTGTGTTGCCTGGCAATTCTGTGTCACTTGCTGCCCAAGCTCCAACAGCACAACAGTTACAGACTCCTCCTAGATCAAACATGTTTACGATGAATCAGACTGTATCTCCAAACTTTTCACAAGGTAACGTGGTTAAAAGAATTAATTGAATATTTACATAATATTTACTTTTTCATTTATCCTTAGAAATGTTTTAAAAGCCAAGTGACACCTACGAATCAGTTTATCTACCACTTCAGTTTAAATAGGAATTTAAATAACTTGATATATATTGTGTATTTATTATTTTATTCCAGCTATAGTGTATGCTACTTTGAAAAATTGGACTGACCTTTCAGGGCAAATATCACATAATTATAGATATGTTAATGCTGGAAGGGATCTTTTGGTTTTTTCAGCCAGAAAGCTTTGTTAACTTTTCTGTAAAACATCCAGAGATAAAACAATGACACTGTATTTCATTTGGCACAATTTTCAAATGTCAGATTATCTACCTTTCACAACACTTCTCTAAATAGCCCAGATTATTTTTATACTCCCTCTCCAGTAGAAAGGGAAGGAGTAAAAGAACTGTTTGTTCTGCATGCTAAGTATAAAACAAATCGTGGGCTGAAATAGAAAGGACATGTTTAATTCAAATATGAAGTTTGGGGTAATATGCTTCTAATTGATTTTTATCCAACAGCAAATCAGAAGATACATCATTTACCATTAACTTATTGTAATTTTTTATTGTCCTTTATAAGACTCCTGTAATTTTAACTTGCATGATCTTTGTCTGAATGATTAGCTAGTCATATAATAGTAATATTTTTCCCTTCTCAAATGACTTCCATATTTCAATAATATTTTCTTTAGGTTTGGTCTATACTTAGTTGTTATGGTAGTTGTTTTGATAGTGGGTATGATACTTTTACCAAAATAGTTATACCAGTAAAAGCCCTATTGTGGCTGCAGTTATACCAAGAAAAGGTGATTTGTATTGTTAGTGGTACAGTATATTTTAGAAAATATTTTTAAAATGTCAAACCAATAACAATAATAAAGTCTAGATACAAAAATCTAATACTAACTTCCTACCATCAACTTAGATTTAGATAGTTATTTGCAAAAATATTAATGTAACTGATTATCTCCTCTTCACTGGTCTGCAGCTATTTGTGTGGTCAGAGGTCAGTGTAAAAATATCTCCAGTGTGCAGAGTTTCAGGGCGCAGTTCCTCTTTTTAACTCCTTTTTTTAACTGTGTATAGTCTATGGTTTTGCCCTCTTCAAAATCTGCATGTTTTTCTGCAGTAAAATTTTGTATCATATGTGTAGATACTGCACTAAAAATGAACTTGACATAGTTCATTTTACAATTGTCTGCTAAAGTAAATTTCTTGTGTGTGTCTCGCACATCACACAGACAGAAGCTTCATATCCTAGCATCAGTAGTGCATAGTAAATGTTTCTAGCTTGATTGTAAAATAGCTTCCTTCCCCTTCACCTGCCCACTCGGGGTTTACAAAACTATCCAGGAGCCATTTGTTCTTTTCTTACTAAAATATTTTAATTTTTATTCTATAAAAATATTAATTTTTAGGTTCTGCCATTATAATTGCATCTCCAGTGCAGCCAGTTCTATCAGGAATGGTGGGGATGATCCCCGTATCAGTACTGGGACAAAGCGGAAATACTTTCTCAGCACCTCCCCACCAGGTAAAGTGTTCCGACAAGTTTTACCTCCCTAAACCAGGACTCTCTGGTCTGGCAACATCCATGATACAGCAGGACCATGGATGTTTCTGCATTAGAGAGGCACAGGACAGTGGGGCTCTGGCAGCGTGGCTGGGGGCTCCGGTGACATGGGTAGTAGGGATGTCAATGTGTAGTCAACCTGGACTTATCGGTTAATCTTTTTGACTGCGTGCACTACCTCCTCCCCCCTCCCTCCCCTTGCTGATTCTGTATCAGGCTCCCCACAAGCACCAGCTCTGCCTGCCCTCCCTACCTTCTTGCTGCCTCCTACAGAGATTGGGAGGGGAGGAACAGGAACCAGTGCTGGGTGGGGGAGCCACTTTCAGAGCCATTTCCCTCCAGTAGCAGCTCCGCAAGCCTGGGCTTGCACAGACAGAGGCTGCTGCCAACCCGTGCTGCTGCATGCAGCTGCTCTGAGTAGGGAGCTGGTTTTTAAACAGGCTCCCCCTTGTGGACTGGCTCCCACTTGCCACCCCACACTGCTGCCTGCTGCCAACCCGTGCTGCTGCATGCAGCTGCTCTGAGTAGGGAGCTGGTTTTTAAACAGGCTCCCCCTTGTGGACTGGCTCCCACTTGCCACCCCACACTGCTGCCTCTGATGGAGAGGCAGCAACATGGAGTGGCAAGGCTCCCTGGCAGTGGGGCTGGGAGCACACAGTTTGCCAGCCTCACCCCCACGGACAATTAAATAGTCATTTTACTGCTAAGATTTCATGCAGTTACACGGCTATTCAATTACATAATATTTAACATCCCTAATGGGTAGCTCTGTGGCAGGGTGCTGTTCGGTAGTGGCACAGGGAGCCTTGCAGTCGAGGGATGTTCAGTGGCGTGGCTGGGGTGTACCGCCAGGGCTAGCAGTATAGTTGGCTGTAGGTGGCGGGTTGTGAGGGGATGGAAGCAGAGCTGGTGGTGGGCTTGGGGGCCAGTGGCAGGGGGCCTCCCCTGATTGAACAAATTCCCTTGTTCCCCCACCCCCGTTAAGAGGTCCTACTTGTAATAAATCTTCATGCTCTCAAAATTAAACTGTTTCAAACAAATCCTAATACGATACTCTGGTTCTTTGAAGGTTTTACACATGCCTATAGCAAATCCTATGTGCAATAGAAGTGTTCCTAAAATACCTATCCCTCCCAAATCTCAGAAGACCCCAGGAGCAAGAAACAAGCTGAATACAGGTACACTGCTTAAACTTCTTAAAATGTATAAAACAATACAATTTTAAATTTCTAGAGGTATGTAATTTGACTGTGACGTTTTTTAAATGGTGTTCTGCTATGAAAAACAACTTTCAAAGTGGCATTGAGGGAGTCCCACATTTGTTGTCTTAGTGGCTGTCTATCAGATATGCTCAGTTTACAAATAAAATACTACCAACCTTACAAAATCTTTGTAGGTGCAAAGTCAAGTATGGGTGGTTTTTTCCAGCTTTTTATTGTAGCCATTCAGTTGTTGCTTATGTGGTGGGGAGAGAGGAGAGAGCCTTCATGGCGTCAAAATAATTCCTCTGAAGAGTGCATTGATTGCTGTTTGCTTTGACAGTTGTAATTTTAATTATTTTATAAATACAATTGGTTTTGCTATAAATATTTATCTAATCAAAACCACATTGAACTAGAAAAGGTAAGGTAGAATAGCCTACAGCTCTGAGTACACAGTACTCCTGAGGGAATTCTGTACACAGTATTTTTAAATTGTGCAAAATTCTGTAAATTGTATTTGTCAGTAAATAAATGTGGCTCCGGCATGGCAGTAGGAAGCACAGGCCACTGGCTATATTGAAATCATCCTGCAGCTTCCCCTCCCCCCTCCATCTCTCCTGCTACAAGGACTCGGCCTTGAGGTTGTACCTGACCCTGAGACAGTATAAGGGCTGGGACTACCACAGAAACACCCTGTGGGGGCCTGTCTGCTCTGTGCCAGCTGCACAATTTCTGGATAGGCAGGCTCAGCCCAGGAGGTTCACGGTGTGGAGTGACTTAGTATGGAGGGATCCAGGTGTGGGGTGAGAGGTTTCTGTGTGGGTCAGTCTAGGGCTGGCAGCTTAGTGGGAGAGCTGAATGTGCAGGAGCTTGTTTGGCGGGGAGGGGATGGGGGTTGCAGTGTAGGGGCAATGGGAGTCTGCAAGGGATCCAGGTGAAGGTGAATTGGGTCTCAGCAGGGGCGCGGGTCTGCATCTGGGTGTGAGGGACTTGTTGAGAGTCCAGGTGGGTAAGGGTTGTCAGGGTGAGGATTTGATGGGCCTGCTTAATGAGGGAGCCCCAGCTGCTGTATGCTGGACTCCTGCTCCGCCCTACCCATGCTTCCCCTATCCCTTTTTCTTCCCCATTTTTCACATACCCCCTCACTTAAGGGGCACCGGTACAATTTGTATAGTGGGGATGCTGAGCCAAACTGTAAATCCTGTAAACAATGGAAAGCATTTCAAGCCCACTGCTTCTTACCCACTACCTCATTACCCTTCTCATCTCATATCCTCTGCCCCTTCTTACCGAGCCCCACTGTGAACACTCACAGTCGCACAAAAAACAGGATGGACTCCCAGCAAAAAGAATAGGAGCACAACTAGCACAAGGACCCCAGCCACGTTCAGCTAGACTGATCTGTGCTTGCAGAAATGAAGGTGGGGTGACAGTGGCACTAACTACATGTGCCCCTCAGTGCCTGGCTTCTTGGGGGGGGTTCCCCCCCAAAAAAACCCCCAAAACCCTGCAGCCTTGGTTAATCCCCTACCCATGTGGGAGGGGAATGGTGTTTCTCGTAGGTTTGCATACTGCAGCTTTCCCCTAGGAATAACACTGTCAGTTCTTATTACATAGCAATCGACATACTGTAAAAATGTAAAAAGGGTACCAGGGCAAGTCCTTTCCTCCATTTTATGTATAGTTACATATTTAAACATATGGGTACACTCTCTCTGTGCATCACAAAGCTTTGCTTTTTTTATATGGCAAATGCTAACAAGATGGTTGGAGTAGTTTAATTTTTTCCATGCCCCGTCCTGTACATTTATAAATCCAAGTTGCTTTAACTAAAATTATAGACTACGAGCTGCATGTTGGCACTTGATTGCTCGACCTTTGCTATTTTTCTGTTTCAGATATTTTCATAATCCAGTAAGTATTAAAACTGCAAAACATACTGTGGAGCTCTTTTGATATCACCAAGTTGCTTTTTTACCTTTTTTTTCCTACATGTGAAGTAGTGTGAACAAGTGGGCTATTCCTATATGGTACCAGCTCGAAGAAAATTTGAGTATTTTCAGTTTATTAACTGTTCACGTCTCCATTTCAGGAAAGCTGGTACTTGGTGCAGCAAAGCCTGTGAACTATCCAAGTTCTAGAGTACAAAGGTTAGCACAAATACTTTTTCAGTCTTGCTTTGTTTCAACTTCTGCAGATTCCCTCTTAATTTCTTCTGAAACAGCAACTTCACAGACACTAGTGAATTAAATGTTTTTGGTTCTTTTCCTCCTCTCTCATACCTAGCAGCTCGTGACATTATTTTTATACTGGCGTGTAGGCCCCACATACTGAAAAAGGCATGCTAACATTAATGGGGTGGCATGCCAATCAGTGATAGCCATAGGCTAGTGTTACACTATTTCTAGTTCTATTTCTCTGCTAGTTTTTGCTATTTTGTGTTTGCTGGCTGCTATCCTGAATTTTCAAAGACATTTTTCAGGTAATAAAATGAGGGAATGAGGGGAAAGAATGTTAGGCTAGTCCTGGAGGAGAAGATGCTCATTTTGTATTTGTTAGGAGAACTGATGTCAATTCATAATTATAGTAGGTGTTAGAATCAGGAATGTTCCTCTGCTTTAAGGGGAAGAGAACCAGACTTCCATATTAGCAGTAACGTGGATAAAAATTAGGGCTGACAATTAATAGCATTTAACTGTGATTAATTTTAAAAAATTAATCAAATATCAACTAAACATTTATTAAATATTTGTGGATGGCTTACCAGGTAATGCTTATGGTAACTGGTTAACTGGTGTCCTGGGAACAGCCCCCCAACCAGGCCCACCGTATAGCAGGTGAGGAGTGGCTCCAGCTCAGCCGGGAGCCCCGCGGGGTAGGGGCAGCTCCGGCCAGGCAGGAAGAGCCCTTCGCCAACGGGATCTTGTTTAACTAGTTAGACCAGTGGTCTCCAACCTTTTTACACCCAAGATCACTTTTTAAGTCAGAGAACAGGCGAAGATCTACCGCCCCGCCCCTTCCTTGAAGCCTCGCCCTCTCTATTCTCCTGCCCATCACTTGCTATCCCCAGCCCTTATACTCTGTTAAACAGTTTTTTTAAATTATGCAATATATAAAATTAAAATCACATGTTTATAGTTATGAAATAAATGGTCTGTTTTTAATTCATGCTATTTAAATGACAAATGAAGCATTTACAATTATACATTTTGTTCTCTGCTATTTTGTAAATCTAAAATCAGTTATTGATAATTATATATTTTTTCTTCCAATAACAGTGTCTCAGTGTGACACCTGTGACTGAACAGTATCTGCCAGTGTCTTGAAGTCTGGGTTGTAGTCTGAGATTGCTAGTTGTATACAGTCCATCAGATGGGAATCTGTGCTCAGCCTGGGAAGCTTACTCCAGCACAGCTGGAGCTAGACACTGCCTCCCTGGGCTGAGCGCAGGGCAGCTGGGCTGGAGGGAAGAGAAGTGGCTGCCCGGCCAGCTGGCAATAGTGCTCAGCCAGGATACACCAAGCTCCACATGAGCAGGCGCAAAGGAGAAGTTGCCGATCAGCTGGAGCGCAAGGCAACCTCTTTCTGCTGAAAGCCACAGTCAGCTTGCTGGGGTGATTCAGCCCTCCTGACCTCCCAGCTCCCACCATTCTTCGCAGCTACTCACCTGTGTTGTTGCTCGGTGAATAACTGCTCCTCAAATAAGGAAATCTAATGTAAATGTACTGCGCAGGCGCGCAGTTCAGAGAAGGCTCAAGAGCTACTCTTAGAGCCCCTGAGATCTACCAGTAGATCACGATCTACTGGTTGGTGACCACGGAGTTAGACTGTTAAACAGGATTTTACATCCCTAATTCTGATTGGCTTTCTCTATTGCAACTGTTGCGGGAGGGGGCTTGCAAAGAAATACAGGAAAGAGGAAAGGGAGTAAAAGAGGCAATTAGGAGGTTAATAGAGTAGAATCAGAAAACATGTATTGGAAGTAAAGAGCACTCAGACTAAAATTATTTCAGAAGTACTAAATGAACAGAAAAATTAGACTGAGTTAAAGCACATTGGAAAGATGGAGGAGAACCTAAAGGAAATGGAGTAAGTTAAATTTTCAGTTTCATAGCAAGTTTGATGTGAATAAAAGATTACAGTGAAATCCGAGGGAGAGAAACACAGAGACAAGACTTGAGACCTCATTGTTTGATGTATTCAGCCTTCTGCTAGTCTTAATCCACCTGAATCATATAAAGTCTGCTTGCTCCCTGCAAAGGGGGCAAAGTGTTGTGGCTCCTGAAAGGAAATTCCAGTACTTCATCTTGAATTGCACTGAAATGGCAAAAGAATAACAATGATCCAGCCAGTTTTTCTCCATTGGATTCATCAGTCAGTTAATGATTGCTCATGCCATTTTCCCCCTTATTCAGTTATTTCAGAGTTCCTATAGTAAAATATAGAAGACATGCTATTGGACACATCTCTTTGAGAGTGCATATGTGCTTTCGCCCAAATACAAAATTTTAATGTGTAATTTGAGCAAATGTTTAAGCTACATTTAAAACACTGAGAAATAGCTTTAAAAGGACAGAACAGATTGAAAAACTTGCATAATATAAATCAAAATTGTCGCTAAAATGTTTATTGCCTTTGTCAGGGCTGGAAATTCAGAGAGGAATGGCTGTGCAGAGCTGGGAAAGAAATTGGAAGAAAGTTCATTTACTGTTCCAGCAGAGTCCACAAGTTCAAATTCCAAACAGAATGAAAGCCACAGGAGAGTGCTTTGCTTTGATAGTGCTTTACCTACTCCAGGAGGCAGTACTCAAGGTCAGAATACTAAGAGCTTGTTACAAAAAGAAAGGAATGAACATCCTTTATTTGCAGTAGACTCTCCAAATGCTGCATCTGCCTCTATTAAAACACAGTCCAACAAAAGAGAGAAGGATAAAACTTTGCCTAGAATTCTATGTAAGGCTGAGATTGGCGGTAGCAGACATGCAGCCGTGAAAGAAGCACAGCCTGAGAGAAAGTCTGTGGCTGCAGGACTCGCATCAGATCCCTTTCACAAGACAACGGCGAATAAAGAGAATGAATTGAGAAGAGACATTGATGAGAAACAAAAGAACCAGGATGCTGCAAAACTGTCAAATGGCCAAAAGAACGTTGGCCTTTGGAATGAAAAAACTGTTGCTTCAGTGCAGGAACAGAACAAAAAACAAGGTTCACTGTCAAATGTGAATAGCAAAAATTCAGGATCAGTTTCCCTGTCTTCAAAGGAGCCAAAAAGAGATCAAACAAAACCTTCCACCAACAGCCTTTGTTTGGCAAGTCCATTAACTAAACAAGCTGTGGAGATGTTACATGGCATTCAGTGGCACAGCCCTACTAGCAAAGTGGTTGAAAATGGGGATTTACCAGTACCCCGTACACCATCAGGAGTTGGGGATACACATACGGAGGATATTGCAGATAGTGTAAGGACACCAACTTGTAAACGCTACATTGAAGACAATACAACCCCTAGAATAATGGTCCCTCCTGCTACTCCAGACTTGCCTGCTTGCAGCCCGGCTAGTGAAACAGGTAGTGAAAACAGTGTTAGTATGGCTGCCCATACATTGATGATTCTATCAAGGGCTGCTATTGCAAGGACTAGTACTATGACTCCCTTGAAGGACAACACACAACAATTTCGGTCAGTGAGAAGCACTGCAAAAAAAAGGAAGCTGGAGGACTTGAATGAATGTGAGAGAAACTCCCGTTCTGCTAGTAAAAAAGAACTTCAGAGCTCTACAACACCAGTGAAAAAGAAGAAAATAAAGGCAAGTACATACTTTTTTTAATCATAGTATGTATCTAGCATTGGATGGTAAAGCTGTGAGCCCAGCTCCTAATACCCGCTAAATTATTCCTTAGCGTCAGTAACATAGCTTTTTGAGCCCACTTTCCCTTATAACTAAGAAAATATTTCTCAGGTTTCAGACTCTACGTTTCATACACAGGAGCAGCTCCCAGTGACTGTTGGCAAATGTCTGTGTATGAACATCAAATTAGTCTCTTAGAAACTTACTTATTGTAGAAAAATAACTTACGGTGTATTAGGGGACTGCACCCCCTCTCTCTGGGGATAGGCTACACCAGCTCTTCCCCTAGCTGCCAAGGAGGACTGGGGCTGTGCCAGCCCCTGTCTCTCACTCCCCCAGCCTCCCGGGAGGGCTGAGCTGTGCCAGCCCCAGTCTCAGCTCCTGGCCACAGGGGAGGGCTGGGGCCATGCCCAGCTCTACCCTGGGAGTGGGTGGGGCTTGGCCCCCAGTGGACATTGAGTGATGTGATTATGTCACTGTTGTCCTGCAGGAAACTTGAGAGAGAGATTTAGCACTTGCTATTTCTTTGGCCACAACTAGGGATGTTAAAATGCGGTTAATTGACTAGTCAATAGGCACTTCTGCATTCCTCCTTTGAAATGTTATATTTCAAAGGAGGAATGCAGGACTCTGTGTACATCCTGGGGCCAGCAGGAAGGTCCCACTGACTCTGGGCTGCACCTGAGTGCCTGCTTTGAAATGCACAAGAGTCCCCAGCAGATGCTCTTGTGCATTTCAAAGCCATGGAGCCCAGGGTCAGCAGGGGACTCCCAGCCCCAGGTTTGGCCCCAGGTTCCACTGATCCAGCCTGTGGCAAGACTCTGGGCTCCTTTTCCCTGCCACAGTGGGGCAAGCCAGCACTAGGTCTCTAGCCCCACAGGGAGGTGCCAACACAGGAAGACTTGCAGCGGGGCTGGAGCACTAGCACCGGCTTGCCCCACTGCAGGCGCATGAAACCCAGAGTCTCCCTGCAGGCCAAATCAAGGGAAGCCCAGGACAGGATCTGGCCCACAGGTTCCCCCACCCTGCTCTAGGATCAAGCATTAAATCAGTCCATGTGAACTGTGATAGGACAAGTAGCTTTTGTAATTCATAATACGTAGTCCTATACTTTTCATCCAGAGGTCTCAAAGTGGATAACAAAGGTGCATAAGCATGATCCATATTTTACAGATGGGGAAATTTAAGGCCAAAACAAAGGGACTTGTCTACGGCCACAGAACAAAAAATGCAACCCAACTTACTCCCCCAGTTCATGAATCACTCTGGGCAGTCACTACGAAACTGCTCATTTAAAATACATGTATACAGTAACTTCATACAAAGATGTGGTGTTTCCTAAGTAAGCATCATCGGTTTACTTCTTCAGCATGTGGATAAGGAAGCATGCAGTGAAAGAAATTTGCAGACTTTTTCACCTCCATTATTTTGGGATTTAACATTACCCTCTCCTTCTCCCAACAGAAAAAGAAGCTACCACATTGTTTTCCAGCTGGAATGGATGTGGACAAGTTCTTGTTATCTTTGCATTATGATGAATAGTTGAACTATGTCTATTTAAAAACAAGGTGTTGCTTTGTAAAGAATGAGCTGCACTTTCAGTGCACTGAAGTTTCACTTTATAGCAAAATCATGCTGTTTCTGAAGCAGGTTGCTAGTTTGTATAAAGAAGTCTAAGTTGGAATATTTTATTTTTGAGAGCACTTACAGTAATGTAGAGCCATTTAATTTACAAAACTGTACAGGTAGACTTGTTTGGCTAATGTAAGTATTGTACAGATGTATTGAGAAGTTGTAATCCACCCATTGTTTTTACCATGTATTTCCTGCAACACCAGATGTTTATATTCTACAAAGTTCTTTACTTACCCATCTAAATTGCTTAGTCACTTTGTGAGTTTGAAGGCAGTGATTCTTTAATTCACCATTTCTAAGCCTTGCATCACTGCTGATTTTAAACAAGACAGTTGAGAGAAGAACTAGGAAATTAAGCATTTGGATCATCTTTTACAGGTATCAGAAGTTTCAAATCAAACTTGTGCTAATTTGTTTGTAGTAGAGTTCTTGCTTAGCCCCTTTACACCCACTTCATGTTCTATCAAAGGCTTTTTTTAACTTTTAAAAACCTATAGGGGTGATGAAAGATTTCCCCAAAGGAGAAATTAATAAAAACATTCCCCTCTCCCCCAAGTGTACTATCTTCAAGTAAAGTTGCTTAAGAATTTTATAAAATTTTAAACAAGTTACCAGTTTAGCCAACTAAGTTCCTAACTGCAAACCTCATTACCTACAATAGTACCTTTTTTGAAGTATAAAAATTATTTAAAATAATGAACTTTGTTTTAAACATTTTACTTAATAGCCAGATTAGCTGTAGTTTCTCAACAGCAAAAAGGGATTTGGTTCACAGGGTGCTATTCTGTATCCAGGAATGTCATTTAGATATCAGCAGCACATGACTGCATTATGTTGTATGAAATATTATGCATAGAAATGAAAGTTTTGGTCATTGAACTCCAAATACCTTGGCTGATATACAAATACATGGCATTTATTAAGACTCAAATGAGCAATTGTTGCTGAAAACACTCAAAAGGGGAGTGAATTAGTACCCAGGAAAAGGAACATGTGGTAGAGGCAGAGTAAAATAGTTTATTCATGATGTACTGAGTTTTTTTAGTGTCAGAAATCCTTAATAGTATTAAGCACTCAGTGAACAGGTTATTCTTTCTCTTGGGTTTTCCACTGTAATTTTACTGTGGTGGTGGTGGAAGTTGAGTTGATGACACAGACTAAAATATTCTAATTGGAAAGATGATTCTTTCAACTCTATTTTGCACTGTCAAGGGGGAAGCTTCCTGTTTATTCCACTTAAAAGGCTTTTATAGTCTTACCTTTAATTCAAAATAAGGTAGATCATGCTGGTTTGCAGTGGGGTAACTAACAAAGGTGGTAGGGCAAAGCTGCAATGTGTGCATCCTAACTTTGGTACAAATTGGTCTAGGTATAAGTTAGTAAACTCTTGTGATCACTAGTCCTAAGGTATAAGGCCTAATTTGTTCTGCAAAATATTCTTCACCAAGAGTGGTGTTTCTTCTTGTTCTCAACTTGTTGATATTACTGAATATAACAGTTTTCTTATAAAATCTATATGGTGACATGGCAATGTTTCGAGTAGCATCCAAAGATTCCTAAGGAACTAAACATTATGCAGTAGATGTTTATATTAAACCCATTCACTAATTTAATACTGCATAACATTTAAGGCTTGAATAAATATTTTGGTTTTAATTTAAAAGGTTTGTCTATCCATTTTGTATGCCAAAGAACAATGTACAAGTCCTGTGGTGATACTCACTTTCATTTTTGCTCTGCATCTTCAATGAACTATGTTAAATACACAATTACCATGGTTGTAGCGCACATGAAGGGACAGCATTGAATTTTTTTAGTACTTGAAGTGAGTTTTCCATCTCTGAGAAATACTACACTTTTCAGAAATGACTTGATGTTAACCCATTAATGTTTCCATTTCATACAAAGCTTCAAATCTGGAAAAATTCTAAAATGAGGCAGGCATGACCCAAGGCTAAGTAAAAATCCTAACCCCATTCTCTTCTTCCTCTGAAGTCTTATAGGCTGTAAACAGTTTTTCTGGGGATATATGAGCTGGCTATAAAGAACAATATCAAATTTGCAATGTGATTTCTCAGATCCTTCACACACATACTGCAAGAGTTGGAAAGCCAATCATTTAAAAGCTGCTATAAAGGTAGTGTAGTCAAGACAATTAGATGTTGCTGGCTGAATGAGGGTTAAAGTTACTTCTGACTTTAAATTTTACGTGTTTGGATCAGTCATTTTGAAATATAAAATTGAAGTTTTTGTCAAGTACTTTGTGTAGGAGAACCAGTTACCTGCCTCACTTGGAGGAGTTATTGCCCGAGCAAGTTTCTTGACAAGACCAGCATACTACCAAAAGTGAACTAACAATTTTGGTACAACTTATAAATCAAAATACAGGCAGTCCCCGGGTTATGTACAAGATAGGGACTGTAGGTTTGTTCTTAAGTTGAATCTGTATGTATGTAAATCGGAACTGGCACATATTGTAGGGGAAACTCTAGCCAAACATTTCTCCAGAGCTCAGTCCTTTATTCTCAAGCTGAGGTGTCTGCTGAGAAAAGCTGCTCTGCATCTCCCTGGTCTGCTGGCGGGGGCGCTAGCTTCGCATCTCCCTGATCTGCTGGGGGGAAGCAGCTAGTGCGGGGTTGCCTCACCCCGTTTGTAAGTAGGGATCTAAATCTTTTCTTTTGGGCATTCATTAGTGGAAGTCAATGAATGCAGAGTGGTAGTGTAACATATACAGAAGGCCTTTTAAAAACAAGAAGGCTGCTGCTGTCCAAAGCACTGCAAACCTGTACAATACATATCTATTGGCTGTGACTTAAGCAATCTTTTGAAAAGAACTGTCCCATAGCAGGCCTATATTCTTTAGTGCTATTGCCACTTTGGTAGATTGTCTTAGTGCCTGCAGCTTTTCAGAGATGAAGACCACCACTGAAGTCAAGCAAATAAAGTGTTTATGTCTGTGTTAGGTAAACATTCAACTATTAGTGGACTGTGCTTGCCAACCTTCCCCTCTATCAAGGGGGGGTGGGGCAACCCTGGCTCTCCTCCAGGCCACCAAGATGGCCCCTTCTCCATCACCACCTCCCACTGCGCAGGTCCCAGGGCAGCTATTTTTAAAACAAGGATGCAAGCACATGTGGTAACTGCTGGAGCTTCAGCCAGCCTCTGTACAGTGGTTCAGGGGTGCATCCTAGACCTGACCCCCATAATCCTCCCACCCCAATGAGCTGTTTTTAAAAATAGCAGCCACCCTCCACATGATGGCTCCCAAAGCTTCAGATTAAGTCATAAAAATGGCCATACTGGCTCAAACCAAAGGTCCAGCCAGCCTAGTATGCTGTTTGCCGTCAGTGCCAGGTGCCCCAGAGGGAGTGAACCAAACAGGTAATGATCAAGCCATCTCTCTCCTGCCATCTATCTCCACCCTCTGGCAAACAAGAGGCCAGGGCCACTATTCCTTACCCATCCTGGCAAATAGCCATTAATGGACTTAAGTTCATGAAGGTTATCTAGCTCTTTTTTTAAACTGCTTAGTCCTAGCCTTCACCACCTCCTCAGACAAGGAGTTCCACAAGTTGACTGTGAAAAAGCTCTTCACTTACCCTGTCACAGCTGCAGTAGAATTGCATCTATCTACTCCAGAGATGTATTCAAATTATATACAGCATCATCCATAAAAATATATATTCTGCTCTTTCTACATGTATGAAAGTTTGTATGCAGGTGTATCTTTTCAGGAATATTTTGAGCTGACCACTGTAGCACAGTTAGGCCAGAAGGTATTTTTTAACAAGTGCTCCCGCCCTAGCACAAAGGTAACAGTTTATTTGAACAGGAGCAATTGTCAGCCATTCTCCCCTGGATACAGAGAGTGATTGGCTTGTCTCAGGGGAAGCTGTAATTGTAGGAACTTAACTGGTATATAACTGTATCCATCCCGTTCACTCTGCCCGTGGATACTTGTCTAACTGAAAAGGCCATTGAACATGAGAAATGCCATTTATCTATGCATAATTTTGAGGGTAAGTATTTTGTTTAGCTGAAACTGGTTGATATCAATTACTATTTTGTACAATATGGTTAGCAATACTAAACAAAATGCTGCAGACATCTTTAATGAAAAGCTGGTTTGAAGACTCAGTCAGCATTCTAGCTAACTTCAGGAGAAGTCTAAACAGTTGATGGTAATCTAGGCTCATGGTCCTGTTGTAAAGATGTGTGCTAACAGCAGGATTCAGAAAATAATTGATTTTCCATGGGAAAACACTAACTAGATATTACTGGCTTAAATAAATTGAGAACTAAGTGTCCATTTCAAAGAGCTATGAATGGATTTAATAGTAACACATTACCCACCAAACAAAACAATTTTCAGTCATATAATTACTTGCAGGGGGATCTTTATGAATCATCCACAGATCAGCTACATCCAAAGAAGGCATACAGTCTGTCTAGTGACAACTTGCAGTTTACCATAATTTGACAAGTTTTAGTTCACACTATGTAAAAAAACACTTGCACTGAAAGTAAAAAAACAGATGTCAGTATGACTGACATGGTTTCAGAGAAATACTATAGAAAAAGTGTTAAGTGTGTCATCTGCAAATCCATAAATATAAATACCACCACCACTTAGATTGGTTTACTCATAATAATTTGAAAGCTTGATATTTTCAACAGCCAGCCAGCCTGCCTACAGCTTTTGGATCAATAGTGCTGAAGCTCCACCTCCTCCATTGCAAATTCCTGCAAGACCATACTGTCCTTGCTTCAGTACATGGGCCATATGAGCAACAATTCTCGCTCCAGACATTCTACAGGAAAAGAAGAGAGTTTAGTTTATAGGACAATCTTAATTATGTACAGGTTGTTCAAACTATCAACAGATTCAAATGGCAGTGCTACTCCATCACTGGCTTGAACATCTAATACCTAAACCTAAGAGTAATAAAAGCAACTTTCCACCAGTTTTTCCACTTTGCCTTTCGTTGAGGGGGATGTGGGTCTTTCTGTAGACACCAGAAGGGTCAGTCTGGAGAGTTAAGAGACCATGAAGCTTTCTAACACACAGCTCTTTAAGGAGTAGTCGTCCTAACATCTTTGCCAACAAAGCTTGCAATTCCAGGGACACTTCTGGATCACCATTTGCTCTTGGAATCCCTGATTTTTGTTTTTAATCTGTATTTAGATGTTTGGGGCTATTTTTCTTCAGTAGATTTGTATAATACCAGTTATCTCCAAAGCAGACTACCGGGAAAGACAGGACAATTCAGAAACTACAGCTGCTTCATAATGCAACAACTCATCTTTTTTGACAGGAAAGAGCACAGGGGGGTTAAACTAAAGAGAGCACATTAAATCTGTGCTCTAATGCCTTGCACTCACTTCTATCTGCAATACTAGGTATTCAGCAGATTTTCTGGATCCATCTTAGGCAACAGCTGTGAGGATATTTTCACTAGTGGGCTCAAGACCAGGAGTTTGGATCTGCCCGCGAACAGGCAGTTAGTGTCCCATTGGTATCTCAAAAAGAGGTTCCCAATCTTGCTCATGTACTGCACAGAAAAACTAAATACCGAGGAGAAAGGTGAAACTCCAACCAAGCCTGCTTCAAGGAACTCAAAGTCAAGACTTGGATAAAATTAAAATGGACTTGCTATCAAACTATCACCATCAATTCTTGCTCATGCTTGGAAAGCTAAAGACAAAATGGAAGTGTTGAAGAAACACGGCACAAGTACAATGACGTATTTAACAGATACTATCCAAAGAGAAGACCTACCCTGCCACCCCTCCTCACATGCATAATGTAGTACTTCACCTACCCTATTGGATGTCCTAAAGACACAGCACCTCCATGTATGTTCACCTTCTGTGGATCAATACCCAGCATTTTAATATTGGCTAAGACTACAACACTGAATGCTTCATTGATTTCCCACATTGCAATGTCTTCCTTTTTCAATCCTGCATCACTAAGAACCTAGAAATAAAACATTGTGAAAGTTAGGTAATTCAATATTACACTCTCTCTGACTTTTAACTACTTACCTAGTGAAGCACATGGCCTTGATTAGAAGCTTCACCAGTTTCCCAGCTGTGATACACGTGTTAGACTATTTCCTACAGAGAAAGGATTGTACAGAAGACTGCACACATCTCAGCAATTGCCCCTGTAAAACAGGACTAAGTTGGCCCTACATCCAGCCATCTGGATTTAAATTGAAACTGAAATGAACTCGAGAGAAAAAAAAAAAAAAGAGACATTTTCATAATCTCTAGTTTAGAGGTGTCAAACACAAATCTATGTGATGTATTAACTTCCTTCTTTGCCCTCATGCTTACAAATAACCTTCCAGATGTAAACACAATGCAACTGACAAAAATCTCTTCCCCCTTGGCAGACAGCTTAGCAGCAGCTCTGGGAATTCACTCCTCCATTTTTATTAGCCACAATGGAGTGATGATGCTTTACATATCAGTTAACTGTTTATCAACAGGAAATGGAGTGAAAGTGAAGCCTGTGAATGCAAACTGGGAGTATGTGTAATAAAGAAAACAGAAGGACTAAAAATAAAAAGAGGCAAGACAAACCACTTAAAAGTTTTACCAGTGTAACTACTGATTAGGCATGGGGATGATTTTTTTTTATTAGCTATCAGTTATACCTTCATACCATAGCCGTATAATAGTACAGCTTCTCTGAGTTTTTGAATCAGAATAAGCTACATCAGTACACACACTTTTCTTCTGGTATAATTATCTAAACTAGGGAGGGTTGCAAATGAAGTCAGGGAAGCAGCAGAGATATAGACAAGAGAAACAGTGTAGGTCCTAAGAGTGAGACTATTCTCCCACTAAGTAATGCAGAATAGAGAGATTAAATGTAGATGAACTAATCAAATAGGCAATTGGATTTCCATCAATCATCTGATTAGTCGATAAGAGTGCCTCCACCTTTGAACTACAGCAAGAGCCTTGTCAGGCTCTTGCTACAGTTCAAAAGCAGAAGCCCCACAGGGAGTGTGGGGCCAGCAGCAGACTCCCCCACTGGCCCCGTGCTCCCTGCAGGGCTTCTGCTCTTGAAATGTAAGAACACTACTTCAGTCCCCACTCGTGCTGTTTCCCCACTGTGCTTCTACTTCCCTTGCCCCCACCCCCCATAGATGGTGCTGGGGAGAAGCAGGCTTTTAAGCCAGCTCCCCCCAGCACCAGCTCCTGCTCCCTTCCATTGCTGCCTCTGAGAGGCAGCAAGGGGGGGGGGGCGACTAGTCGCTTACATCTCTAATGCAGAATGCAACAAACTTTTAATTTAGTTACATAAAATCTGTATACTACCTTGATTTTTATGCAAACATCATCAGCAAGAGTTCTTTGGATTGAGGAGATTATTCAGGCATAAATGTATGCCCCAGCCTAAGCACCATAATTAAGACATTGAATTTGGCCTTC